CTATCAGGAATGAATACGAGACAAGCAACTGGAGTGGATTTTTAAATTTGTCAACGACATGATTTTTAAATATTACGTGGATTTTTAAAGAATCATTTTTCAAGGTTTGTCTAAGGCGTGGATTTTTAAAGAAACCTTTTTCAAGGTTTGTCTAAGACGTGGATTTTTAAAGAATCATTTTTTTAAGGTTTGTCTAAGGCGTGGATTTTTAATGAATCATTTTCCAAGGTTTGTCTAAGGCGTGGATTTTTAAAGAATCATTTTTCAAGGTTTCTCTAAGGCGTGGATTTTTAAAGTATCATTTTTCAAGGTTTGTCTAAGGCGTGGATTTTTAAAGAATTCATTTTTCCAAGGCTTGTCTAAGGCGTGGATTTTTAAAGAATTAATTTTTTCAAGGTTTCTCTAAGGCGTGGATTTTTAAAGAATTAATTTTTTCAAGGTTTCTCTAAGGCGTGGATTTTTAAAGAATTATTTTTCAAGGTTTGTCTAAGGCGTGGATTTTTAAAGAATCATTTTTCAAGGTTTGTCTAAGGCGTGGATTTTTAAAGAATCATTTTTCAAGGTTTGTCTAAGGCGTGGATTTTTAAAGAATCATTTTTCAAGGTTTGTCTAAGGCGTGGATTTTTAAAGAATCATTTTTCAAGGTTTGTCTAAGGCGTGGATTTTTAAAGAATCATTTTTCAAGGTTTGTCTAAGGCGTGGATTTTTAAAGAATCATTTTTCAAGGTTTGTCTAAGGCGTGGATTTTTAAAGAATCATTTTTCAAGGTTTGTCTAAGGCGTGGATTTTTAAAGAATCATTTTTCAAGGTTTGTCTAAGGCGTGGATTTTTAAAGAATCATTTTGCAAGGTTTTTCTAAGGCGTGGATTTTTAAAGAATCATTTTTCAAGGTTTGTCTAAGGCGTGGATTTTTAAAGAATCATTTTTCAAGGTTTGTCTAAGGCGTGGATTTTTAAAGAATCATTTTTCAAGGTTTGTCTAAGGCGTGGATTTTTAAAGAATCATTTTTCAAGGTTTGTCTAAGGCGTGGATTTTTAAAGAATCATTTTTCAAGGTTTGTCTAAGTCGTGGATTTTTAAAGAAGTATTTTTTTTTTTCAATAACTAAAAAGTATATTCTTTAGTTTTTTCTTTAAACCATTGTTCCCAATTAACATCCCATTTGCTTTAATATCCCCCTCAATTTGTTTTAACGATATTGTCGTAGCTGGATGCCATATTTTTATTGTCACAAATTGATTGTATGAAATAAATACTTTGAGCTTGCCAGAAAAATGAGTGAAAAAAAGGCCAGAAATTATGTTGTGTGTTTGTGACAGCCATTGTTAATGCAGACATTTTAAATCGACTGGTCATTTTCACAATAGACGCAGATTAATTCTTGTATACATTTTTTTGCAATATCATTTTTGCAGACCTACAGTTCGAAAGGCGGTGACGGCGACATGATTTGTAGCATATTTTCTCAGCTTATTTTTTTCATTTTAAAATATGGTCTAATTGTATCAACGAAATAAAATGCCTTGTCATTAATTCTATTAGGCGTTACACAAGAAGAAAAAGGCTCAGTCCTATTTTTTACTCATTGTTATTTTGGAACTTTTAATGACAACAGCATTACATGGTAATTTTTCAGAGATTTTACCCCGAGGTTGGCACAAATAATGTTTGATATTTTAAAACAGATTATATTGAAAGGTGTAGGAGAAGAGAAGAAAGAATATTATAAAATTGGTTGTTTTCTAAATCGTCAAATACGCACATTTGAATTTGTGGTGCCTTCCATGCTAAATTAAAATAAAATTAAATACAAAAATAAAATTTTATTTAGTTAAAAACTAAATTATTAACTTTACAGGTGTACAGGTCAGCAAATGTAACCCAAATTCTAAGAAAAGTTCATAATTATATCAGTGGCTACTGATTTCATATTCACATACAAATCCGTGAAAATTTTTGATACTTTTCAAAAAAGGTTCAACCCCCAACTTCGTGGCATACACAGGGTCTCTTCTCCCATTTCAGCTTAGCACAAAAAGGCCAACAAAATATTTTTAAACAATATTTGTTTAGGAATAAAGAACAAGCGGAGAGTATAAAAACTACGCCAACAATAGAAAGCCAAACGAAATACCGGCACGTTGATGTTTTCATTACACACGAATTAAATGTTGTAAAGGTAAACCGCATGGATGTCCTTTTTGTATTGTCATGTAACCTTGCCACCACCCAACACTCAATTACAAATAAGTTTGGGTCGACAAATGCTAATTAAATTACAAGTTGTTGTCAGGACGCAAAAAAAGAACAGACGTTTGGCAATTTTCCACGTTACCTATAATTTGGACGACCACCACATCAGCATACAAAAGACCTTTTGCTAATTTAAAATGTGTGGGTTTTTTCAGAAACACAGTAAAGGAAATTTGGATAAAATCTAAAAAATGCTTCTTTAAAAATCCACACCTTGCCTACTGCTTGAAAAATTGATTCTTAAAAATCCAGGCCTTGCCTACTGCTTGAAAAATTGATTCCTTAAAAATCCACGCCTTGGCTACTGCTTGAAAAATTGATTCCTTGAAAAAATGTTTCTTTAAAAATCCACGCATTGAAAAAATGCTTCTTTAAAAATCCACGCATTGAAAAAATGCTTCTTTAAAAATCCACGCATTGAAAAAATGCTTCTTTAAAAATCCACGCATTGAAAAAATGCTTCTTTAAAAATCCACGCATTGAAAAAATGCTTCTTTAAAAATCCACGCATTGAAAAAATGCTTCTTTAAAAATCCACGCATTGAAAAAATGCTTCTTTAAAAATCCACGCATTGAAAAAATGCTTCTTTAAAAATCCACGCATTGAAAAAATGCTTCTTTAAAAATCCACGCATTGAAAAAATGCTTCTTTAAAAATCCACGCATTGAAAAAATGCTTCTTTAAAAATCCACGCATTGAAAAAATGCTTCTTTAAAAATCCACGCATTGAAAAAATGCTTCTTTAAAAATCCACGCATTGAAAAAATGCTTCTTTAAAAATCCACGCATTGAAAAAATGCTTCTTTAAAAATCCACGCATTGAAAAAATGCTTCTTTAAAAATCCACGCATTGAAAAAATGCTTCTTTAAAAATCCACGCATTGAAAAAATGCTTCTTTAAAAATCCACGCATTGAAAAAATGCTTCTTTAAAAATCCACGCATTGAAAAAATGCTTCTTTAAAAATCCACGCATTGAAAAAATGCTTCTTTAAAAATCCACGCATTGAAAAAATGCTTCTTTAAAAATCCACGCATTGAAAAAATGCTTCTTTAAAAATCCACGCATTGAAAAAATGCTTCTTTAAAAATCCACGCATTGAAAAAATGCTTCTTTAAAAATCCACGCATTGAAAAAATGCTTCTTTAAAAATCCACGCATTGAAAAAATGCTTCTTTAAAAATCCACGCATTGAAAAAATGCTTCTTTAAAAATCCACGCATTGAAAAAATGCTTCTTTAAAAATCCACGCATTGAAAAAATGCTTCTTTAAAAATCCACGCATTGAAAAAATGCTTCTTTAAAAATCCACGCATTGAAAAAATGCTTCTTTAAAAATCCACGCATTGAAAAAATGCTTCTTTAAAAATCCACGCATTGAAAAAATGCTTCTTTAAAAATCCACGCATTGAAAAAATGCTTCTTTAAAAATCCACGCATTGAAAAAATGCTTCTTTAAAAATCCACGCATTGAAAAAATGCTTCGTTAAAAATCCACGCATTGAAAAAATGCTTCTTTAAAAATCCACGCATTGAAAAAATGCTTCTTTAAAAATCCACGCATTGAAAAAATGCTTCTTTAAAAATCCACGCATTGAAAAAATGCTTCTTTAAAAATCCACGCATTGAAAAAATGCTTCTTTAAAAATCCACGCATTGAAAAAATGCTTCTTTAAAAATCCACGCATTGAAAAAATGCTTCTTTAAAAATCCACGCATTGAAAAAATGCTTCTTTAAAAATCCACGCATTGAAAAAATGCTTCTTTAAAAATCCACGCATTGAAAAAATGCTTCTTTAAAAATCCACGCATTGAAAAAATGCTTCTTTAAAAATCCACGCATTGAAAAAATGCTTCTTTAAAAATCCACGCATTGAAAAAATGCTTCTTTAAAAATCCACGCATTGAAAAAATGCTTCTTTAAAAATCCACGCCTTGAAAAATGCTTCTTTAAAAATCCACGCCTTGTAAAAATGCTTCTTTAAAAATCCACGCCTTGAAAAAATGCTTCTTTAAAAATCCACGCCTTGTAAAAATGCTTCTTTAAAAATCCACGCCTTGAAAAAATGCTTCTTTAAAAATCCACGCCTTGAAAAATGCTTCTTGAAAAATCCACGCCTTGAAAAAATGCTGCTTTAAAAATCCATGCCTTAGCTACTCCTTAAAAAAATGCTTCTTTAAAAATCCATGCCTTGGCGACTCCTTAAAATATGCTTCTTTAAAAATCCATGCATTGGCTACTCCTTAAAAAAATGCTTCTTTAAAAATCCACGCCTTCTTTAAAAATCCACGATTCTTTAAAAAAATCTAGGCTTTAGTTGGTCCTTGAAAAAATGCTTCTTTAAAAATCCACCTCCTAAAGGGTCCTTGAAAAAATGCTGCTTTATAAATGTCTCACTTCTGTCACCCTTAATCCACCTAAGTACCTTGTGTCCATCTACATCAAAAGCCAAAAATCTTTACCAAATATCTTTGTCACTTCTAAACCAACAGTATCACCGATATCACCCGTCCATCTCTATTAAATTCCCCCCACTGTACAACCTGCATTCATTAATGTTTTGGCAATGCCAGGCATAACCCTCATTTAAATTTTCATACAATGAACACCTGTTTTGTTTGCCACTATTCCCTTTTTACAGTTTGGACGTGTTTCGATGCCAATCTGCACTCACACACACCCAAATCCACATATTAGTCTTACAATACTAACACACGACTACTCTTCTGCTGCTTCTCATACTCACCGACAGTAGATGCCAATCATCACCACACATGGAAAATAAAAACTGATACAGCTCGACACGACTGCGTATGTGGGCGTCAGATCCAGTGCACAGGTTGGATATTTCTTTCCATTATCCTCTACAATTAACGGTTGATCGGGCCGATGTAATCCCAATGAGATGGGTACAAATGAAACGAATGCGGCCAGCAGCCAAATGGCAGCTATTGTGATGACAGCCACACGCCTTGTTACCCAACGGCCGTATCTGCAAAAGGAAGCGAGAACAAGAAGAAGAAGATGTAAATACGAAAAAACGTAAATAAAGGGAATTAAAAACCAAATTGGAATTGTGTGGTAAATTATGAAAAAGGAAACAAGTGAAGTTTCAGCAAAACCACAACAACAACAAGGATTAGAAATCGAAATTACAAGTGTGTTTTGTACGCGTGTGTTCATACGTGTGTATGTGTTCAATGATAAATAGGTTGATTGCTTTGGGTAGAGAGAGAAAAGACGACCAGTACATATGTAGATTATCATCAGCCTGTCAATTTTTGCTGTCATTCCTTGTCGACATTGTTAACTGATTGTTAGTATCATGGACAAATATGGCTAACATTGTGCTTGCATATCCTTTTGTTTTCGAAGACAAAATGACAAACGTGTTGTGTGTTCAAACGGCTTACTGAAGCTGTCTGTTTATGATTTATTTATCAAAAGATCAAGGTGAACGGCGTGATATTTCACAGGGAACAATACGTGAATCTGTTATCATTGTGAAGTTCTATTAATCACTAATATGCTATCGTAGATATCAAGGGAATTAGTTTCAATAGTATCGTATCAAATTAGACAGTAAATGTCGTTTCGTGTATAATGTGTAATCTAGGGCGACGTCTTACAAACAAGCAATACAAATTTGATAATAAATGTCAACAACTATATTACCGGCCTATTTGGGTAATTTTTGCAGTCACAATTAATGATTATAATCCTAGTCTTATGTCTTATGAGGGTATCTACACTTTGCTACGACAAAAATGTGATCCCCGCAATATTAATTGCGGGGATCTAACTTGCTGAAGGGGGTAACCAATATCCTTTAAACTTGGAACATCATAATATTATTAACTCACTTGTATATTCTCCCAAAGAAAAAAAACACGACCACAATCACCATTCATTATTCGGCTGTATTGGCATTGTTTCTTCTTTTGCAGACTCTCTTATATTCTTAAAAATTCTCATATGTATTTTCCAAATTATTTCGATATAAATGCTAAATACAATATATCCAACAACAAACCTAACATTACAGATGATTCTTCTAATGATGCAGAACATGAACACATAAGTAAATAAGAAGAAATGAGACAAGACATAACAAAGAAGAAGATAACATAAAATAAAAACGAGGAGGGAATTTATGTTCCGTATAAACTCGCCACAACCAATGTCGTCTCTTCAATTACTTGGTGATTCTCAGAACCCCAAATATGACAATTTTGTTTTTACCCACCGAGTGAGAAATATGCTTCCAAAAAAATTCCGTCCCTCCGACTGGATTTGTTATGGATGTAAGTGGAGGTTATGTAAACCAAATTCCCCTCTTAAAGCACCATATGTGTATGGGGTATCGCCATTTTTGATATTGTTAACCCTTTCAGTGTTTTTGTCGAAAATATTCGACATTTAAAATTACTGTCTTTCTTTGCGATTTTTCGGTTATCATATGTACCGATACAATTGATGTTTTTATTTTTGCTGAAAGACAGACAAAACTGTCCGAAGGTTAAAATAAAAATTGTTTTTTTTTTCTAAACTCTGTGCCTTTATATGATTTTAAATACAACATTTTAGATTTTTATTCCGACAATTTTTATTTATTTTTTTTTTTTTTTGACACTGAAAGGGTTAGAGAGACCCCCCATTCTCGGGGTCAACAATTTATTTTTTTTAATTAATTCGAATCTACACTAATTCAAGATTGTCCCTACAAAATTTCAAGTGAAAATCTCAAGAACTCTTGAAAATATAGCCGTTTTATTGTGTCAGCATCAAGTGACGGCTAAAGGGCTTCTCAAACTTTAAACGCGTTTTTCTCTTTTGGCGGGCACGATAACTCAAAAACTAATAACCCAATCGATTCCAAATTTTTACACGTTTCTCTGTGAGTGTATACCTATTGTATGAACTAGGACAAAGCCAATCGGTAAAGATCTTCCTTATTTTTTAACTTGGTTTTTAGTCAAAAATCGGCGATTTTTAAAAAAAAATATTTTTTTCAAAGGTCCGCCATTTTGTTAATTTTAGAGCGAAGTCAATAATCCTAGTTCATACGAGAGCCAGACATGTACTCTTTCTAACACCGTTGGAATTTTCGGATTCCGATGTTCCAGTGAGGAGTTATCATGCCCGCCATCAAAAATAAGGACTTTTCTTTAATTACAAAAAACAACAACAAAACAATAACAAAATTTTTTTTGTAAATTAATTTTCTTCTCTTTTAAATCTTCAAATATATATGTTCAAAGTTACAAACCTTAACAAGCATTGGTATTGATTTACTAGCCCATTGAAAATCTTGAAAAATTAAAATAGAGAATGGGTAGGGAACCCCACCCAGCGTTTAGAAAAATACACGGACGGATTAAATTCTTGATATTAAAGTTTTATAATTCTCGATAATATTTTAACTATTTCTTTATATTTTTCAGAAATCTGCTTGTCATATTTACAATTAGTTCGTCCAAACATGGGACAAATAATGTAGATCCATAAAAAATATTCGGAGTTCAAACTCCTCACATTTGACCTGTACTTTTGCGTACCAACCCTTCTTGACACTGAAACTTATACTTCATAGAAATAAATCAAAATTAAATTTTATCATTTCCCCCTATTTCTTTCAAGGATTTTTGTATCACTTCTATAGATTGGTTACATATTTGTACGCAATCATGCTGCTCAACCCATCGTGTTTCACAATATGAATGTAGTCGTTTGAAAGATTTATTTGCTTCTCGAAATATTCTACATAAAGTAGCATCCCTTTTTGGATTTTCTAAAGAATAAGCAAATTTCCAAAATTTTAGAAAATATACTTTGAATTTCTCGAATCTTTGAAACTGCATTTAAATTTAAAAAATGAAAATAAGAATGAATGTATATCGCAGAAATAAATTTTGATTTAATACTGGTATGCACTCCATAATAATTGCCTGACATGTTAGACGTCATATCCTTATCCTCTCAAAAATGTTGTATATTTTTTTGTCAATCCTTTTAATTCCACGTAGAAAAGTAAACATTCTTTAACTTCTTTAGATATCTTGTCAAAAAAAAAATCCTATACATATATAATTTCATCCGCTATACCGATAAAAATACAGCACTTTTCAAATTTTTAACAAAATACTTCTGCATGTCTTCTCCAATTAGTTCTATTAACTCGTTCTGTATTATAGGTCTCAGGTATGTTGCAATTTTGGGTGTACTCTCCAAATGTCTTCTCTTTCACATAATTAAATTGTCCCAATGGTCACATTAACTATATACGTTTGTTCTTTCAAGCTGAAGCTTTTTTTGTCCGTAACAAGTTTTATACGCTTTGAAACATATTTCGTTCTCCAAATAAAGTTCTGAGTCCTCATCATCGCATCCTTGTGGTATACTTGTTTTTTGGGGCGGTAATGCATTCAAGAGCATCTTTCCAATTTGTAAAAGGGTGCGACAGAAGTACTTTTGGAACTTGGTGGTTGCCCTTTCCGCGCCCTCTTTTATTTGAAAACAAGATGCCGACTTTATAAAAAACACTTTTTGCCAAATTTGAATACGCGATACAAGAAACCCGGGGGGCCGGGTCGGACCGGGTATAATGAAAATTAAAAACATCTCAATTCGAACACGTTTGCACGTATAAGAAAAAATCGAAATATTAAGCGATTTGAGAGCTCAGTTTTGGAGCCTTGGTAATATTTCATTATATTTACACTATCTTGACGGATTAGATGTCAATAGCTCCTCTGCGGTATCATTTAAACCGTTAGATATTGACCTTCATTATAATGGCATCCATTAGAATTAATTGAACATATCGCCATATCCATTGGAAATTTGTAATGTTATAATTATCTGTTCGGTCTATATTAGCAGTGCCCAAAATAGGTCCCATGGGCTGTCGGTGTGTGTCATAACTCTCACACACACAATGATAAAAATAGAAACATTTGAAGATAAAAAATGTTTTCAAAATTGTCATTCATTTTTGGCAAAAATTAGTTCAGAGAAAGTCGAAATATGTGACCAATACAATGGGGATTGGCGAAACAGAAGCAAATCTATCTTTATATAGGAAAATATAATATTAACAAGCATATTTGCACTGAATACAAAATGTTCTTCTGTCTTAAAATTTGAAATACAAGTTTTACAATTTTTCTCACAGTTTAATAAGAGATAAACATAAATTTGAAAATTGTGTATTTGAAACAAATACAATAAAAAACATTTGCATGCATTAGTGTGGACAGCCCTGGTCTATATCATTCCCTAAAAACTAACCGAACACTATCAAAAACAATAGGAGTCTTCTTTTGCCAGAACCGGTCCAACAATCAAAATTTACATAAATGTATCGTGTTTACAAACTGTAATAAACAGACGACGCCGCTAGTCGAGATATGAATATCGCCATACTACTATAACACCCTTACAACATAGTTGTGTAGGGTGTAAAAATTAATAATAATTTAAATTTAGAAATCTTTGGCCCTTGAAAAATAAATAAATGCACGCCTCAGTTGGCCCTTGAAAAATATTCTTTAATAAATGCACGCCTCAGTTGGCCCTTGAAAAATATTCTTTAATAAATGCACGCCTCAGTTGGCCCTTGAAAAAATATTCTTTAATAAATGCACGCCTCAATAAATCCACGCCTCAGTTAAAATATTCTTTAATAAATCCACGGATCAGTTGGCCCTTGAAAAATATTCTTTAATAAATCCACGCCTCAGTTGGCCCTTGAAAAATATTCTTTAATACATCCACGCCTCAGTTGGCATTCTCCGAATAGTCGACGAATAGGTGGAATGTGTCGATGTGTTTTCCGTGGGTCTTTTCCAGGATTTGGTCTAAATCTGGTCAGTGGTGAATTTGGCAATTCTGAAGCCGCATTGGTATGGTCCAATAATGTCATTGACCATTAGCTTCAATCGTTCATGCAGCACACTGGATAGCACTTTATATGCGATGGGAAGAAGACTA